AATGAAAGCTTAAAGTATTTCATTAAATAGATGATTTAATCAAATGATTATTACTGTCCCTTAGGGGCTAGACTTGCTAGAGTATTATTCAATAAAGGACAGTTGTCGTGGCAACATCGTGCAGAGTATAGTCCGGTTGAACGTCTCTAAACATCTTGTGCCAGTATGGAGTTGATGGCATTTATTATGATCATCAATCAGGAGTTACATTAAGTAAGCCACCATCCTGGGTTTAGTCAGGGCTCTGGGCTTATTAACTAGGACCTTTGGATGACTGCAGCCTAATTTAAAGTACACAACAATATAAACCTTTGAGAATCCATGTTAGCTTAGGCGTGATGATGACAATTACAAAGACGTTTCTAAAATGCAACGTATATTACCTAAACAGATTAATTATCAACGTTTATCCATCATTTTATAAACAAATTTCTGGCTTTTCAAAATAAAATGTCTTCCGACAGAATTTTGCACACTAATTTATTATGTATTATTTTGCATAACCTACAAGATCTTTATTGTGGTGTTTTTATTCTAATAAATCTATTTGCTGCAGCTTTACTTCATGCCTTAACCTTTTATAATACCGTAATGTTAGAACTCCAGGCAGTTGGAGCATGTTTATATCAGTGGTTCTAATACCTGAATGAATTCAGCATCTAGTCTAATTCAATGTTATGGTCAGACTTGGTGACATGATTGTTATGTGAGATTAGTTTCAGTTTTAGTTATTTTTAGTCCTACTGTGGGAGAATTGACTTTTTTAAATTCATCCCTTGGGGGATCAAGGAGCAGCCACACTGGGTGGTACGAGGACATAAATCTGTGGTTAAGAGTCAAGCTTAGGGATACAAAGCAAAAGCTTTGCTTTTAAACCGGCAATCTTGAGACTTACAGGGCATAAATGCCCTGATCTCTAACTATAAGGCCACAACTCCCTATTGTAGACTGGATAGTTTACTTGAGCTCCCCCTGAAGAGACTTGACTTAATTTAACCAATCCCTCAACCTTTAAAATAAGAAATAAAACTTGGTGATGCTTCTTGAAGTCTTGAAACTTAACTCGAACTTGCTGCTTAAAGACTTGAGACAAGTTTAGGATTCCTCATTCAAGGACTTATGACTTACCTTTTTTTGCTAAGCAAGACTTGAGCGTTAAATTAAATTCGCCTCTTAAAGACCTTAGATATTATATTGATTTAACCTTCAAATACTTGACTTTGACTTATCTTTGAAAGACTTAAGAATGTATTTTGACCAGCATCTTTAAACTTGAAAAATGATTAGAACTTGACCCTCAAAGAGGAGAAATATTGACTCGGACTTCAACATCTCTAAAGGATAAAAACAATATTTAGCAGAGCTGCTTCTGTGTGTGCAGAACATGTACAGAAGCCAGTCTGGTGGTAAAAATTCAAACAGGAATACTAGATGAATCTAAGTCTGAAGAGGGAACAATAGATATATGGGTATGTGAGTTAGTATGGTGGTTAGATGCAAGGCTAGTAAGCAACGCCAAAGGGTGACCTGCTGGTGCTTAAGAATACTGATTGACTGGTATACTCGTCTATCACCGGATAGCAGCTGAGTAAATGTGTGCTGCATGGTCGCTACCTGGTTAAGGCAGCAGCTAGAATTTTGCCAGAGCTTTTTTCTAATATCAAAACCCGGTGAATTTAAATCTACTTTGATCCCTGAGCAGCAGTAACCGAGCGGTAAATTCTCAGAAATAAAGCCAAAATTTGAACGTTGAAAGAAGCATGCTTTTGTTTACTTTTTTGGATTGATTAAGATTTTATTGATCTGTGTTTAATGCATAATTATTAGTAGATCAGGAAATGTTTGCTTTGGGATGGAAACCTTGTATGTCTTAAATATTCCTTTATTGTACATTTTGTTTGCTTGTCTGTCTCCTATATTAACCAATATAATGTGTTGAACTAGATCTGCTATTTTCAAAGCTTTTGTGAGACACTTTTTTATAAAGCAGGGCATTCATTAATTAAAAAAAAGTTGATTTGAATTTTAAAAATGAAAGTTTTCTGTCAAGAGCAATGATGAACTACACAATTCCATTCTATACCCAGCAATTGTAGCATCTAGGCTAGAGCTGTCAGTGTAGTAAAGAATCTGGTTCTTATTCGAAATTGTAAAGTTTAACTTTCTTTTTTAACTAAAAACTAACTAAAACTAGACTAAAGCATTTTAAGTTTTAGTCGACCTAAACCGACTAAAACTATCACATATCGTCATGACTAAAATGTGACTAAGACTAAAAATTGTTTTCGTCCTGAAGACTAAGACTGAATCTAAGATGGCTGTCAAAAACAACACTGACCTCTGACAGCGAAATAATAGCTAAGGGGGGTTCATAATCTTGACTGTACAGACAATATTATATACTGAAAACTATATTAAAACTATTATATATTAAAACTACTTTTATTGCACTTATCAAAGCACATATAGCAAAGCTGCTCTCTGCCATTGAACACAGGAGCAGCAGAAGCATCAGACGCATCTTGACACAATTTACTGGACGCGATTGAGTCTGAACTTAATGTGTACGAGCATCAGAAATGAAGCAGCAGATGCTTGTTTGCTGCTGAAATCACGTTAGGTGTGAACGTAGCATAAGGAACACATTTTATTCAGTTCAACAACCCAAATACATACACACACAAAAAAATTAAAAATTATTTTAGGACATTCTCTGCCTTGAGTGAGTAAAAATTCTTACTGTCAGTGTTGCTTGTTGTGAGATAAAAACAGAGGATAGAAGTAAAAAGATAAGGGGGGAAAAGGAAAGAAGAAAAAGACAAGAAAAGGGGGAAGTAAAAAAGATGAAAAAAAGTTTAAAAAAAAATAAATAAAAGGAAACAGAAGAAAAAAATGCAAAAGAGTTCTTTAAACCTGTATTTACATTATAAATTCAGGTGTTTGCCCAGAAAGAGCCCTCTAACAACTGTCTATGAAAGCAGAATTGTTTTATACTAAAGTGCTACTTCTCCTAATTACCTAATGCACATCTGCCAACTCATTACTGAAAAATGCTTCCTATAAATCCCCTCAATCAACAGGGCTTTAATCCGACTTCCTCAGCAAACTGAGAGCATAAATCACCTGAAAAGTTACAAGAAAAAGACTGAGTGAAAGGAAGAAAATAATCCATCTACAGTAAATTTGTTCTTTCTTCCATCTGACAAGTTTGGTGTTCCCACTGGACTAGATTCTTGATGGAAGTTGATCAAATGTGATTCTGGATGAAAAGACGTGGTGAGTTTGGGAAGGGAAACAATCTCCCTGCCACAGGCAGCATATTGATCACATCCAACCACCCACTCTTCTTTCAGGGTTTATCCATGCCAGCAGCCAATCTTACAGGACTCAAAGCACTGCTCTTTGGAGACTGTTAGATCATTTGTTAGATGAACAGCTGCTTCAACCAACAATTGGACCCTCAGTGTTTAATAGGATATACATGGAGGGTTAAAGGGAGATTGGTGTTTTTTAATCAGCCTGAATGACTATTTCTAACTATTTAAAGATTGCTTATTGGATTAATCAGATTCAAACCACAGTGCAGATTTAATTAAACAGCCTCAAGTTTCATTTTATAGGATTACATTTTCATGAATAGATCAAACTTTGCTGCATTGTCAGTAAGAGGTTTCCAGACTGGCATTGGGCTTAGTTTATGGCTGTCAATCTGGAAGTCATTCCTGTGCTCTCATCTTTAATCTGGCTTAATCTAAAAAATAAATACCCCCTTAAAAAAGCCTGATGTAAGAAAAACATCATTAGCAACCTCTGGTCAAATTAAATGAAAAACAACTGTTTAGATTTAGAGGCATTTCCTCAACCAGATGAATTTTGCTTTTCGTACACATCTTACTGAGTCAGAATATCACTGAAAAGTACATCTATTTCTAAGTAACACATCTTAAAAAGAGAAAAAGAGACATGTCAGCTGTTTGTTATCATAATTCAGGTTTACGGCTTATTACATTCAGTTTCTCAGTAAAAGAATCAAAACATTACAAAAAAAAAAAAAATAAATTATTCCATAAAGAGACATGATTTTTCCACTTAATCTGGGGCACTGGGGCTGACTGATGGTTTTCCAGCTGGAAGGCAATGACCACCATTCACAAGGAGAGTAGGGTCGTTGCTAAATAAAAATGCTGCTCTCAAAGAGCTGGTACTGTAAGCTGCTTCAGCTCCAGGTTTACAGAGTCTGAAGGCTAATCATGTTTTGGGTGTACTATTCCTTTAAGGGGGGTAATAATTCAGAATGCATAAAATTCCACTCGTAAAATTTTTACCAGCAGGTGGAGCCATCGTGTGCTGACACCAAAAGTTGAAAACCCAACAGCTCTGGAACTGTTATAGCTAGAGGTCTGAAATTTTTTGCATTTGTGGTTGACATGACAAACATAATAGAATAAAATCTGCCTTTTCTCAAGAATGTATTTAAAACTGCTGTTCAAAAAAGACCTATTTTTGAACTGATGCAGGTTGGGATGTGTTCTAGTCACCCAATTTATATATTAGGAAACTAGAGGGTGTTAGCTTTCAAAATAATGTATCGCACATGTAATTTGGGCTTACAGTTCCTAAGTTATTTGTTTTTCCATTTGGGTATGCAAAATAGGCGAGGATTACCCAAAATGAGGTGGATGTTAAAAGGTTAAAGAGTTTTTCCAGAGTGATCTCTTTTCAGGGAAAAGAATCGTAAAGATAGAGCTTCAAGCTGCATACACAGAGCATATCTTTAATAATGCTTCAATATTGGGCTAAAATATCAGCGTCAAGTTCACTGCGACACACTGCTGCAGGAGGATAAGCAGCCCCTCAGTGGGGGGCCATGCCTTTGGACCCAGGCCTATGTTTTATTTTAGACCGCCTGTGCTGCAGCCTGCTTTGTGCTTCCCCCTCTGTCATTTCTGGCCGGTTAGCCCACGGGACGTGACAAGAATGCAGTGTCAGATTACCAGGACCGTCCGGGCTGCTCCACCCAGCACAGCGAGCAGAAACCCTGCAGAAAGGAAGCGGGCTTTCAGCTGCGGCACCGCGGATGTTGACGGAGAGGAAATGCCTGGCTGTCTCCTCCTTCTCTCCCATCAGATCTGTTGTTTGCCCACATCGCTGGCTGCGTAAAGGTGGAGGAGCCGCGCAGTGACTGACTGGTGATAGTGTGTGGGAATGCTCCAGCGTCAGGGCGGATGAAGATGGCTTCGGTGCGGCTGATCGCTAAAGTTAGGACGGGACTTTGGAGAAGTCTGCAGCCTTTTCAAGCTTGCGGCTTCACGGCTACGCGTCCGCTTCCACTCCTCCTCAAGGTAAAACTAAAGTCCTGCTGTGTTGTTTCAGCGCAGGGCTTCTACACCAAGCTGAGGTGTTTCGGTTCTGCTGCTGTTTCCTGGTTCCTCTGAACAACAACAACAAAATGCTGAATTAAATCCGGATCAAGTTCTGCTCTAACCTTTTAGAGAGAAAAGGAAAGTGTTCATGTTCTATGGAGGCTTCACATGCTTTGCCTTTATTACACCAAACATCACAGGGTTTTATTTGGATTTTATGCAACAGATCAACAAAAAAAGCAGAATAGAAAACAATAGAAATGTTTGTTTCTCACTGGCATGTATGAGGGGAGAGGATACATGGTTTTCATTTTTGTTTTAACCCTTTATAAGGCAAGTTAGAGTTTTTGATCACTTGCCTACCCCTTACCTAATGGAGCCCCCCTCCATCCATTAGTGAGATCTAGAAGCACAAGATCTACACCTAGCCATTCAGCAAAGATAGTTCTACATGGCTGTAGATGAGCCCTTCAATGATATATTACCAACTGTAAATAAAGTTGGGGGAAAAAAGTTAAGGTAAATAGCTAATTGAAAAGTTAAAAAGTAAAGTTAAAAGTTAATAAGCCTATTTAACAATTATATTTGGGTTTATAAATTAAAACAAATAAGTGCCAGAATCAGCATTAATGCCTCTAAGGTCATCTTGTACCCCCCCATAATTTTTTTTCCTTTCACTCTCAGAGTGAATTTCTTATAGAGGCACTTTTGTTATTTTTCTAACAAGTTGGTTTTTCTTATTATTACATTGAAATACATTTTTTGCCATCAAAATATCCATATTTTTTAATGTTACAAAGGTAATAAGGTCTTGTTCAGTATTCCAAAAACAGTATTGGCTTGAAATATGGATTTTCAAACTATTTCACTGAGTGCCCTATAAAGGGTTAAACAAACAAATATCTGAAAAGTGTGGTGTGCATTTTTATTCCACCACCTTAAGGGCTGGTTATCCTCCCACAGTATATTTTTGATTTATGCTCAATATTGCAGCCTGGTCTGTGCTATGTTATTCCACACCACAAACCAAGAGGGACAATTAGGAACTAGTTGGGGGTCTAGATGCGGCCGAGGAGGTGAGGGCAAGTTTGTGCGACAATGGAGGGACATGAGGGCAAAAAAGAGCGGGGATCCAGGTGGAAAAGGGTCCCAGCGTTCTAGCGCACCTTGCTCTTCTAGCTGGTCCATCTTCACAAGTAGTTTTCCACAATGGCGGTCATACAAACAAAACAAGCCAGTAAGGTACCAAAAAGGAAATATGCATAGAGTAGAGCGGATGTAGATTTGACCAATCAGAGGCCTGCTGTCTGCGGCACTGTCCGCGGTCACCTACAATTTAGGAGAGGTGCAGCAGAGAGTCTGCGGAAGGGGCAGAGGCACATTTGCGTTTTCGAAGTATAAATGAGCCTTTTAATAAAACCCAGTGCATCCCCCTCTTACTGCAGCTGCAGCGCTTTTGGGGGTTGGTCTTCAGGTCGCTTTGCATATTCAGAACATCTAACTCAATCAGCTTCAGTTTCATGTTGATTTAGGTCTGAACTGTGACTGAGGCAATCTAACACACCAGTGTTTCTGTGGTTTGAGGTTTAAGCCATTTCATTTCATCTCTGGTTTTACAGTTTGAAGTGAAACAATCTATAGTCTTTTGCTGCGTATGACAGTTGTTCTTCACCACAATTATCTGAATTGTATCGCAATCAAAATTATTGTTCAGCATCTATAAAA